GGGCACCTGATTGGCTCAGTTGGTTAGGCTTCTGACTCTTGGATTCGGCTCAGGTCCTGATTTCATGGCTCGTGAGCCTGTGTTGGGCTCTGCACTCAGTGGGAGTCTGCTTGGATGTTCTCTCCTTCTGCCCCTTCCCCTGCTTGCACTGTCTCTCTCTCAAATGAATAAATGTATCTTTTTTAAAAAAGTTATTGTTTTCTTGTTGATTTTGTTTGGATGATCTGTCCATGGATATAAGTGGGGCATTAAAGTATGCTACTATTATTGTATTACTATCAATTAGTTCCTTTATATTTGTTATTCACTGTTTTATGTATTTGGGTGCTCCTATGTTTGGTGCATAAATATTTACATTTGTTATATCTTCTTGTTGGATTTCCCCCTTTCTTATTATATAGTGTCTTTCTTTGTTTCTTGTTACAGTCTTTGTTTTAAAGTCTTTTTTTCCTCATGTAAGTATTGCTACTTCAGCTTTTTTTTTTTTTTTAAGATTTATTTATTTATTAGAGAGCAAGGCAGGGAGGGGCAGAGGAAGAGGGAGAGAGAAACTTCAGCAGACTCTGCATTCAGCATGAAGCCTGAGGTGGGGCTCGATCTTATGACCACGATCATGACCTGAGCTGAAACCAAGAGTTGGACTGACTGAGCCACCCAAACACCCCTTAGCTTTCTTTTGACATCCATTTGCATAATAGAGGTTTCTCCATCCCCTTACTTTCAATGTACAAGTGAGGTCTAATGTCTCTTGTAGGCAGCATATAGATGGGTCTTATTTTTTTTCCCCATTTTGTCACCCTATATCTTTTGATTAGACCATTTAGTCCATTTACATTCAAAGTAATTTTGTTACTTATTTTGTGGTTATTTCTGAAGATTTTCTCTGATCCTTTCTTGTTATTCTCTCATATTTTGCTGATTTTCTTTAGTGATATATTTGGATTTCTTTCTCTTTATTCTTGGCATGTTTATTAGTGTTTTTTTGAATTTTTATTTTTTAAATTTTTAAAAAGATTTTATTAATTTGATAGAGGGAGAGAAAGAGAGGGAGAGAGAGAGAGAGTAGCCGAGGGAGAGGGAGAAACTGACTCCTTGCCAAGCAGGAAGCCTGACTTGGGACTCAATCCCAGGGACCTGGCATCATGACCTGAGCCAAAGGCAGATGCCCAACCTACTGAGCCACCCAAGCACCCTATTAGTGTTTTTTTAAGATTTATTTATTTATTGTTAGAGAGAGAGAGAGAGAGCGTGTGGGGTGGGGGGGCGCATAGGGAGAACAAGAGAGAGAACCACAAGCCGACTCTGCACTGAGTGCGGAGCTCAATGTGGGGCTCAATCTCACAACCCTGAGATCATGTCCTGAGCTGAAATCAAGATTTGGACACTTAACCAACTGAGCCACCCAGGTGCCCCTGTTATGGTTATCATTAGGTTTGTATGTAAACTCTTCTTCAATAGCAGTCTATATTAAATTGATGGTCGTTTAAGTTTGAACCCATTCTTTTTTCCTCTCCTCTGTATATCTTAGGTATATATTATTAAATCCTTTTTTTGTGAGTTCCTTGACTAATTTTATACAGAAATATTCATTTTTACTGCTTTTGTTTTTCCTACCTTTATACTGTCACTTTTGGTCTCTCCTTTAAAAAAAATTTTTTTTGCATTTAAGTAATCTCTGTATTCAATGTGGGGCTTGAACTCATGACCCCAAGATCAAGAGTCACATGCTGTAATGACTGAGGCAGCCGGGCACCCCTGGTATCTCCTTTCTACTCACAGATTCCTCTTTAATATTTCTTGCAGGGCTGGTTTTGTGGTCACAGACTCCTTTAGTTTTTGTTTGTCCAGGAAAGCCTTAATCTGTCTACTCAGAATGACAGCCTTGCTGGATAAAGTATTCTTGGCTGCAGATTTTTCCCATTCAGCACTTTGAATAGAGCATGCCACTCCCTTCTGGCTTTCAAAGTTCTGTTGAAAAATCTACTAGCCTTATGGGTTTTCCCTTGTAAGATATTCACTTCTTTGGTCTTGCTTTTAAGATTTTTTTTTCTTTAGCACCATACTTTTCCAATGTAATGTCTTGGTGTGGGTCTGCTTTTGTTGATTTTGATGGGAGTTCTCTGTGCCTCCTGCATCTGGGTATCGGTTTACTTCCCCAGATTAGGGAAGTTTTCAGCTATTATTTCTTCAAATAAATTTTTTGCCCCCTTTTCTCTCTTCTTCTGGGACTCCTATAGTGCAAATATTAGTACATTTGATGGAGTCACTGAATTCCCTGTTCTTGTTTTGTGTAACTCTTTTTTTTCTCTTTTGTTTAGCTTGATTATGTTCCATTACTCTGTCTTATGGGTCACTAATTCTGCTTCTTCTATCCCACTATTTATTCCATCAGATGTGTTTCTCATTTTGTTTATTGAGCCCTTTATCTCTGCTATGTTATTCCTTATCTCTGGGTAAATGTCTCACTCATGTCTTCCACTCTTTTCTCAAGTCCACTGAGTATCCTTAGGACCATTGCTTTAAATTCTCTATTAGGCATGTTAATTATATCTGTTTTGCTTAGATCTCTGGCCATGGATTTGTCTTTTTCTTTGATTTGGGATAAATTTCTGTCTCATTTTGTCTGCTTCTCTGTGTCTGTTTCTTCATTTAAGAGAGTCAGCTAGGTCTTCTGCTTTTTTTTTTTTTTTAAAGTAGGGTCTTGAACTCACAACCCTGAGCTGAGATCAGGAGTCCAACCCTTAACCGACTGAGCCACCCAGGGACCATGGTCTTCTTCTAAAAGTAGTGACTTTATGAAGAGGAGGTCCTGGAGTGCCCTGCAGTGCAGTTGTCCTGTTTATCAGAACTTGGCACTTTAGGAGAGTATCCTACACATTTTGCTTATGCCCTCCTGTTGTGTGAGTCACTTTTCCTTTTAGTGCAGGCACCTGCACGGACTCTGCTGTAGGGGGCTGTGCTTGTTCTCCGTGGTGTCTGTGGGACCCAGGCAGGCCAGTTCTGAGGGGCATGCCTGCTGGGGAACTTGGCAGCAGGGCAGTGGTGTCAGCAAAATTTCTGTTGGGGCTCTAGTCCTATGCCTGATCCCCCAAAGCACTGTGGCAGCTGGGGGCTATTCGCTAGGGCCAAGGCGGGGTGTGAGGTTGGGCGTGGGGCAGCAGCTGAGCAATTCACGCAGGGGCAGGTGTTTACCAGGTGGCTCAGTAGGGTGTAAGCGCAGCTTTAACAAAATTGGCCCTGAGGGGCGCTTGGCTGGCTCAGTCAGGGGAACATGCGACTCTTGGTCTCAGGTTTGGGAGTTTGAGCCCCATACTGTGTGTAGATTACTTAAAAGAACAAACACTTTAAACAAACCAAAACTTGCGCTGAGCCCGGGGACGAGGCTAGCAGGCTTGAAGGCAAGGGCTCTGGGGTAACTGTACGTGTGTTGTTCTGGTAGCATGTTCGGTAGCGGTGTCTGTGCAGCGCCACCTCCCACAGGTGGCTCCGTGTTTATGCTGGGGGGTGTGGGAGGAAAATGCGCCTGCCAGCTCCCTCATTGTTGAAGTCCCCTAACATACTCTGTGCTCAGTATGAACAGATCTGTCTCCTGTTCCCCCCCAGCATTGTGCAAACTGCTGTTTTTATGTTGCCTCTGTAAGCAGGCTGCTCTTTAAGGGTGGAAATGCAGTGATCACTTGCCCAGGGCTGAGTCCGTTGACTTTTAAAGCTCCAGGCTCCAAGTCCCACTGGTTTTACAAACTCACAGAATTCAGTCCCTCTGATTTTTCAAGCCAAACCTTATGGGGATTAACCTATCCCATGTGAGCTCCCTGATGCAAGGCCCGTTTCTCTGCCCTCTCGGCATGCACAGCTCCCTCCCCTCCCGTGGGCAGCCTCCCTCTACCTTTCTGACCTTCCTAATCTTTCAGATGCAGTTCCTTCTCTGTATTTAGTTGTGGAGTCTGTTCTGCCAGTCTTTGGATTGTGCTCCTGTTTACTGACTTATAAACGTGGGATGGGGTGAGCCCACAGGCCTCCTACTCCACCATCTTCCCAAGCTCCTGATAAGGTGTGTTTCTTTTTGCATATTTTGTATGAACTAAATGGGGGTAAAATAAAGCAGCACTCCATTTATGGTTTTACTACCTTCTCCAATTGAGGACAGTCAAGCACCAAAATACACTGCTTAGGTAGATGACAAATGGGCTATTGAGAATCTAAAATATTTCTTTATCATAATGCTATATATTCATGAAATATACAAATAAGTAGACTGAACAAATATAAAGACAAATCTCCAAACACTGCTTCACCAATGCTACATTGACTCTGTTGAGTATTAAAGGAAAAAAACCCCAATATTATTTTTCATAGTTTTTAATAAGCTATCATTTTCTTACATGTACACTAGTAAACTTAAAAAGACAAATATTTACTACCAAACGAATACTGTACAATTTATAAAAAATATAATTTTAAGATTTTGGAGTAATAAAGGGAAGAAACTTACTTCAAATGGATAAAATAAAATTCTACTTTTTAAGAAATTTAACTAGAAAATAAGACATTTCCCATTTGTCTAAGAGAACACTAAAAACTTTATGGAAGCCAGAGACCATACCATTTTTTTCAAGCTTTCATCTACATAGCTTTAAATAAGCCTTAAAAATTATTTTCCAGTACATATAAGGTTGTTAAACAGAGTACATGACTGTGTGACTATGCTAGCATGAGAAGTCATGAAGAACAGAGATACGTCTTATTCATCTTTGTATCTTCAGCTCCTAGCATAATGCCTAACTTAAAGTAATAATGTTTTTTTTTTAAGATTTTATTTATTTATTTGAGAGAGAGAATGAGAGAGAGCATGAGAGAGGGGAGAGTCAGAGGGAGAAGCAGACTCCCCGCTGAGCGGGGAGCCCGATGCGGGACTCGATCCCGGGACTCCAGGATCATGACCTGAGCTGAAGGCAGTCGCTTAACCAACTGAGCCACCCAGGTGCCCCTAAAGTAATAATGTTTAAGCAATGCTTGTTGCTGAACTGGGAAAATACACATATCTACCTTTGGTCCAATTTTCATTCCATATTAAGCAGCTACATTTGAGGTACCTGAGTAGCAGTCCTGTTCTTTGGCCCTTGACCTTAAACTGAGTACGGTAAGCTAACATACATACACTTTCTCCATCAGCCTTCTGACAGGATCCTCAGAACTGAACCATCATGGGCCTGTGAATTTTCTCTTATATGGTCTGATTCGTATGTCTTGGATAAGTTAATATCAGTGTGCAAAAGTAATGCGTTTTCAGTGCAGGATAAGAATGTGCTTTTGAGTAAGAATGGAATAAAGGCCTTGCTTTTCCATGTTTTAAATAACAGATACATAGCATCTTATATTATGTCACAATTAGCAATTTTTAGACACTGAACATAATACACTGTATTACAATGAAATGTGGTAGGCTTCCATTTTAGGAGCAAAAATAAGTTTCACATAAAAAAAGATTTATTTTAGATTCACATAAAATACATTTAGAATAAATCTAAATTTTTAGCATTTAAACAAACACAGAAGAACTTCAAGATGTACAGTCTCCATGCTGTCCAAAAAGCAAGTACAAAAAGCTCTTTTATAATTATTGATCATCACCTCGTTGCCTCAAATTTCTAGATTTTCCATTTTCAATTCTTCTCTTTTTAAAGACTGGGGCCACTCCATCTGCCATGACTCCAAGAGAAGTGACTGTTTTTTCTTTAAATATCACTTTGGGTTGCCCACCAATATCAGGTTCTGAAGTTGATAGATATTCATTTTCAGTGCTTGGAAGTTCCAAATCTACCTCCTCACTGAAACAGAAAGTAAAAATATAACCATTATTTGACAGACTAAGACAAACTTTTACATAACCTCTGAGTCCAACAAAGGCCCAAGATCATCTTTCTAATGATAGTGAGAAGTTAAAAGTCATTTCAAACTAGGAAATTACTTAAAGATAATCATTTTATAATATTATTTAAGATAGAGAATACTTATTTAGGTGGATACATGTCCAGAAAAGTATCATCTTTTATTCCTTCTGCACAGTACGTATCATCTAAGGCAATATTTGTGCTTATACATGACTAGCAGTACAAGTTAAGGTGGATAAGTTATTTATGGAAACTGATCTTGCCATGAACTGTGACAAGGACTCTGGGGGCTTACACAGCACATGATGAAAACCATGGGATCCCACTGTCCTATGGTAGGAGACTCTACATGGCCTTTTGTCTAGTACTCTTTTTAACAACTAGTCCTTCAAACACCCACATGGTTAGTAAACATAATCAGCTGACTAATCTAGAGATTGGTACCTTATTAACATGAACCTATCATAGTACCCCACCCTCTACACAGTCAACTGGTCCCTAAGAGAGCAACTAAGTCATGCCACATCTATCAGTTCTACCCATGAGCTTTTTGACATGGCCAAGAAAAGATCATTATGTTTAATTCTGTAGTGGCTAAGAGTGTAAAATCTGTGGGGAACTACATCTCCTATGTAAAGGAATTCTGCAATGACTGAGAATACAGCTGGCTTACAGAGAAAAGTAGCAAAGGGGGGAAGCAGACAGATAATCCTGCCAATGTTTCATTGCTCCAGTAACTCCTGAGACTCAGCCGAATTTCTGCCCTTCCCACAGCTTGGTAGGTAGAACCTTCCTGAGAACTTCTGAATTAATAACCTCTTTTTTATTTAAGGTAACTTAAATTTCTATCACTTGAAACCAAAAGATTACCTAGTCAGTATTTATTGTAGACTGACCATATAAACATGGGTTTATTTCTGGGTTCTCTACTCTATTCCATTGATCTATATGTCTATTTTTGTGCCAGTACCATACTGTTTTGATTACTACAGCTTTGTAGTAGGTCTTGAAATCTGGGGTTGTACTATCTCCGGCTTTGTTCTTCTTCTTCAAGACTGCTTTGGCTACTCAGTTCCATACAAATTTTAGTATTATCTGCTCGAGTTCTGTGTAAAATGCTGTTGTTATTTTGATAGGGATTACACTGTTTCTGTAGTAGGTTGCTTTGGGTAGTATGGACATTTTAACAATATTATTTCTCCTAATCCATGAGCATGGAATATCTTTCCATTTGTTTGTGTTGGCTAGGACTTAACAACTAAATGCCTATTTGGTTCAATTATCTTAAAAGCACATGATAACAAATTTGCTTCCCTCTCAGAAAGACTACATAGAAAGATCTATAGCAATAGTACTGCAAGATCTTTTTATGTCCCATCCTACATATACATGAATAAAAACAGGTTTAAAAAAGTAGGTTTATAGACATAGTAATTAAAGACAGAATTTTTTTAAAAAAGTTGACCAACTGGTGGCTCAGTTGGTTAAGCATCTGCCTTCAGCTCAGGTCATGATCCCAGAGTCCCTGGATCGAGCCCTGCGTCAGGCTCCCTGCTCAGCGGGGAGTCTGCTTCTCCCTCTCCCCCTCACCCTGCTCGTGCTCTCTCTCTCTCAAATAAATAAAACCTTAAGTAAAAAGTTATCTCTAAACCTAATGTGGGGATTGAACTCACAATCCCAAGATCAAGAGTCACACGCCTTACCAACTGGGCCAGCCAGGCATGCTCCTTTTTAAATGCAAAAATAGTTTGGAAATTTGCTAGGACTGCAAACAAAACAAAACAAAAACAGAGAATGTAAGTACAAAAATAACATTTCAAACTAGTAATGGGCAGTTCAAAACTAAAACAAAACTTCTGCATAATAAAACACTTGAGGAAGAACCTATCTTAGTAGATAATAATTGGATAAAAATTTCCTCAAAATCTGATGAGGGGATGCAGGAAATAGGGATTCTCACTGGAATAGGTCTTAAATCTGATTTGTTTTGAAAACATATGCCTCCCAAAACTTTTATTTACTGTATTAAAACTGTTTGCTTTTCCTACTTCCCTATTTTCTCTTAGACTGCTAACAATGGTGCTTTTCCTAAGAAGGCTAGTAGCCCCTGCAGTTGATGGGAGTATTAATTCTTGGCTTTTTATTATTTTATTACAGGAGAGGAAACAGGTTTAAAGATGTTAAATAACTTGGTCAATCAAACTTATGGAAGTGGTGGAGCTTGGATTAAAATCCAGGTCTGTCTGACCTAAAATTTATATTCTTTCCCTTAGACCACTCTGCTTCCAAGTGAAAGTAAGAAATTTTACTAACCAAGGAGAGAAACATTTGAGGAATGAAGAGTAGTAGGGTTGGTCACTGGAAAAATGAATCTATAGTCAAGAAATTTGATGTGAGATTCATGTATTTCACTTGAATCTTGGTGCGTTATACTGTATTTTGATAGAGTGATCAAGCTGTAGTATTGTTTTTAAAAAATTTTTATTTATTTATTTGACAGAGAACACAAGCAGGGGGAGTGGCAAGCAGAGGCAGAGGGAGAAGCAGGCTCCCCGCGGAGCAGGGAGCCCATGTGGGGCTCATCCCAGGACCCTGGGATCATGACCTGAGCCAAAGGCAGACACTTAACCAACTGAGCTACCCAGGTGCCCCTGTAGTATTGCTTAAGTGGGATTATAGGAAAGATAAAAAAAAGTTTGTATTCAAAAGAAAAGGCAAGAGCCTGCAAGTAAACATCTTACAGAGAAATGTCTTTTCAAATAACTTTGGGACAGTTACAAAAAATAATTACACAAGTACTTCCACAAAACCATAATCATTTCCAAATTCAAATGCAAGAACTGTAAAGGTTATAGTATCTGAACACAATGTAATAAAGGTAGAACAAACATTCCCCCCCCATGTAGATTTAAAAATGTGAAAATAAAAGGAAACCTTTTAGAATGGAGTCAGAAGGCCGGCAGGGCAAACTCTTACACCCTATCACTCCTCAATTCCAGACCCAAGAGGAAGAGAGGGACCTTGCACATGGATACTACTTTGCTATCCCAGCAGGAGGAGGCTTTCCTCCTCCCACAGTAACAATCCAGTCAATGAGAGACAGTCACATCTCAGCCAATGAAAAGCCACTATACTTACAGTTCCCAGTTTAATCCAATGGACTTTTTTGTTCATAAAAGTTTTCCCAATATCCCACTTTCCTCTATAAAAGGGCATTCTTCTCCTTCCTTCTGTGGACTTGCCAATGGTTTTGTCCTATCTTATTTGTCCTAGACTGCAATTCTCTGCAATTTATTCCTGAATAAATCCATTTTTTGCTGATAAAATAATGGACAATTTTATTTTTAAGGTTAACACTACTTGGTGATCAGAAATGGGATCCAGTGATGACCCTCAGCAACTGTGAGGCTGGTGAGCAAAGAGATGATGTACTTACAGAGCCAAGTGGATTTGCAGGGATTTGAAGGTAAGTTTTTCCCTGGATTTTGAGTGCCATGCTTTGTGTTCAAGCTCCCCAGGCTTCATTTGGGATCTGTCTTAAGGCCTTGGGTTTTTCTTGTTTTTAAATCTCTTGAGGTTACCTATTTGGCCTTCGGCCTTTTTTTTTTTTTTTTTAAAGATTTTATTTATTTCTTTGACAGAGAGACACAGCGAGAGAGGAAACACTAGCAGAGGGAATGGGAGAGGGAGGAGCAGGCCTCCCGCCGAGCAGGGAGCCTGATGCGGGGCTCGATCCCAGGACCCCAGGATCATGACCTGAGCCGAGGGCAGACGCTTAACGACTGAGCCACCCAGGCACTCCAGGTCTGACTCCTTTTAGGACTTGGACTGTTCCTGATAAAATTGTACTGGTCTTTGGCCCAACTCCTGTCTGAACCCAGACTCTGCCTACTGAAACTGTTGTAACCTTCAGTCTGACTCCTTTTTGGAACCAGACTGTTCCTGCTGAAATTGTGCTGTTTAGAAATTTTTTTCTGCTCTAGGGAAAAGTCTCTAAGAAATGGGAGCCCAGTCATCAAAATGCCTGAAGGTGCCCCCCCGCCCCCGCCATTTCCTCTCCACCTTTCTGGGATTCTGGCTTGTTTTATGTTTAAAATCTATGGTCCCTATGCATCCACATTTATAACTAAAATGGATCAACTTAGCCAAAAGTAATTCTGAACTTCAATGGCATTATGGGGAACTTTGAAATTCCCAAACTCGTTTTACTCAAATTTAAATTAGAAGGCTATGAGCGGGGGTGCCTGGGTGGCTCAGTCATTAAGCATCTGCTTCGGCTCAGGTCATGGTCCCGGGGTCCTGGGATCAAGCCCCACATCGGGTTTCCTGCTCGGCAGGAAGCCTGCTTCTCCCTCTCCCACTCCCCCTGCTTGTGTTCCCTCTCTCGCTGTGTCTCTGTCAAAAAATGAATAAAATCTTAAAAAAAAAAAAAAAAAAGGCTATGACTGGTAGAAAAACAAAGCACAAACAATGGACTAGGATGCCTATTTTTTATTAGAAAAAAATTTTTTTTAAAGATTTTATTTGACAGAGAGAGATACAGCAAGAGAGAGAACACAAGCAGGAGTGGGAGAGGGAGAAGCAGGCTTCCCGCGGAGCAGGGAGCCTGATGTGGGCTCCATCCCAGGACCCCGGGATCATGACGTGAGCAGAAGCAGATGCTTAACGACTGAGCCACCCAGGCGCCCAGAAAAAATTTTTAATTTTAATTCCAATATAGTTAACATATAGCGTTATATTAGTTTCAGGTGCACAATATAGTGATTCAACAGTTCTATACATGACACAGTGCTCATCATGACAAGTGTGCTCTTAGTCCGCTTTACCTATTTCACACATTCCTTTTTCCCCATCTCCCTTCTGGTAACCATTAGTTTGCTCTCTATAGTTCAGAGTCTGTTTTTTTGGTTTGTCTCTTTTGTTCCTTGTTTTATTTC